AATTGAGGGTCATTGAGGGTCACTTGAAATATCGCTTTCAGTCCCTTTAACACATTTAAAGATCAAGGATGTAATACAAGGAAAGTTAATTGCAGTTGCGTATACTCTGCGTAAATATTGAAACCAGTTCTCTCTAGGCGGAATTTGTAAACAAGAATAGATGCATCAGGGTTCGTTTAGTATCCGAGTAGGTTAAAAGCATTGAATTTTGATAATTTTGATAATTCACATAGTAGTTTCTTATGATTAGAATATTTCAATGATTTTTTATGTAAAAGATGGATCCCAGGTCAGGCTGCGACATCCGTCTTGTGTTTACATTACCGTCCAGAGACAGTACACTGCAGTACAAAAGATGCACGCACACCTCTGAAATAATTTTCCTTACATTATAGCCTTGATAAAAATTATCAAAATATCAATTTATAGTAAAAATCAACCAATAAAAAAACTTATTTGAAAAAAATCAGCTGTGATAAAACTTGAAATTTGTTTGTTAAAAACTTATTTTAAAGCTTTTTGGCTCCTTTACCCTTTACGTCTCTATCTCCTAAATGAATAAGTGAAAAACCATGATAGATATAATCTTGACATGTGTCCATCTTTTGGCAAGTGTAAACTATAATCAAATAATCCAAATCAATCATCCAAAAAACGAATATGCGTTGAATATAAAATATATCAGTGATAACCAGAAAACAATAGACTAGGAAAACGACCTTAATTACAGCAATACTAAAGTGTATTTGATGTTGTTTCAAAGGAAATTGTTTTACTAGACACTTATTAAGTCTGTTTACACTGAAAATGGGATTTTTTAATGTCATAACTTGTTTCAAAAGTCGTCTTCCTATTTCATAGTTTTCTGGTTATCACTGTAGACAAGCAGTAATATATATGAACAGGGGCGGATACAGGATTTAAGTGAGGGGGGGGGGGCAAGATTTTTTAGGAACAAAAAAATTCATAATTAGGAACAAAAAATCTTTTAAGTCAAAAAAAAATTTTTTAACTTAAAAGACTCAAAAAGAGTCAAAATTAATGACTAAAGACTAAAAAACTAGATTTTTAACTTTTCACACATTATAGTTTATTAAGACAGATATTTTCCTGTTTTGCACTAGGGTTTCTTTCCCTTAAGCATGCTATTGAGAAGCTATTCTGAAAATAGGAACAAAAAATTCCAAAAATAGAATAAAAAACATCAAGATGCAAAGCACATTTTTATTTTCTTCTGAGTCCCTCGAAATCTCAGGGGGGGGGCGAATGTCCCCCCCCCCTCTGTATCCGCCCCTGATGAAAATATAAAAGATTAAGAAGTCAGTGCTGTTACAACGCACAAGGCGGAAGAAAGACACCCCTTGGGTCTAAACAGTCAATCTAAGAGAAAAGCCATCCTTTATATTTAACCCCAGGGGGGGGGGGGGTAAAGTAATATTTTTTATTCAAATTAAAATTTTCCAAGCATTTGGCTTGCTACGGGTAGCAGACATACAGGCAGACAAAAATGCATAGAATAGATATATTTAAAAAACAAAATCTTATCATGATTCTAACTTTTATTGAAAACACGATTTTTTGAAGAAAAAAATTGCTTATTTTGTTTTTTATTAAATTCAATGATTTTGCTGAAATTGAAAAGAAATTTGTTAAAAACAAATTCACTTTTAGAAAAAAGTTTAAAAGTCACGTTTAATAATAATGCTTTTCATAACACACCGTACACATATTTACATATATATATATGCTTATATTTTAGCACGAGAGCACACGAACTTTGAATTACTGTAAACCAGAAAAATGTTTATTTATAAGGTCGGTTTTTTAATAAAATCAAAGCCCTCCTTCTCCCCCCTGGGGGTTCGGGGAGTGGAATTTTACGGTTCATCCCAACGATTAATGAATATTTTTCCAGTAAGAAATTTATTTTGGAAAATTTTGAATTTAAATAAAACTGTATAATGGGTGAAAGAGCGTCCTAACACCTTGTACTTTTATGAACTTATTCTAGAGTTTACAATTTACAGAAAAATGTTCTGAAAGTGAACAATATCTAAATAAACCTAAACACTGTAAAGAAGATGAAGTACTGTCAACTGAGCATTAAAGTCTCTCTACTGAAATGTTAAAGCCAGGGATCCATGATAAAAACAAATTTAAAATGATAAATTGTCCTAAAAGTGTTAGTTGTTGTAATCAAGAAAGGTATGTTGTATAAAAGAGAGAATCCTATTGGCTAGTTGTATAAAAGAGAGAACCCTATTGGCTGGTTGTATAAAAGAGTGAATCCTATTGGCTGGTTGTATAAAAGAGAGAATCCTATTGGCTGGTTGTATAAAAGAGAGAATCCTATTGGCTGGTTGTATAAAAGAGTGAATCCTATTGGCTGGTTGTATAAAAGAGAGAATCCTATTCGCTTGTTGTAAAACAGAAAGGTTTGAATTGGCTGTTTTCATGTAAGAAAGTTCTCTATTTCCTAGTTTCATGTAAAAAGAGTTTCTGGTTTCTATCAACTGGTATCATATAAGAAAGGTTTCTATTTGCTGGTTTCAAAAAGAAAGGTTTCTATTAGCTGGTTGCATGTAAGAAATATTTCTATTAGCTGGTTTCATGTAAGAAATATTTCTATTGGCAGGTTGTATGTAAAAAAGGTTTCTATTGGCTGGTTTCTTGTAAGAAAGGTTATTATTGGCTAGTTTCATGTAAGAAAGGTTTATATTTGCTGGTTGTATGAAAGAAAGGTTTCTTTTGGCTGGTTTAGTGTAAGAAAGGTTTCTATTGGCTGGATGTATGTAAGTAAGGTTTCTATTCATTGCATGTATGAACGGTTTCTATTTGCTAGTTTCACGAAAGAATGTAAGAAAGGTTTCTATTGGCTGGTTGGATGTAAGAAAGGTTTCTATGTAAGAAAGGTTTCTATTGGCTGGTTGCATGTAAGAAAGGTTTTTATTGGCTGGTTGTATGTAAGAAAGGTTTCTATTGGCTGGTTGTATGTAAGAAAGGTTTCTATTGGCTGGTTGTTTGTAAGAAAGGTTTCTATTGGCTGGTTGCATGTAAAAGAGGTTTTATTGCTTGGATTAAAGGGTAATGACTCTGATGGAGTTCTGTGAGAGGACGTCACTCCATGGTTGGAGGTAAGTAATGTGTGTGAGCATTTACTGTAAAAATTAACAGAATTTTGTTTTCTTTAACTAAAGATAATTTCAGTCCACAAAATTAAATATCTATAGTTGATGATTTTACAGCTCAACCCTTGGCCTGAGCCTCTTTAATTCTCCCTTTGAAGATTTTTTAATTCTCAATCTTAAATTTACCGTATGGGAAGTTGCCCATGGGAAAAAATGATAAAAACATAAAATTTGAAAAAAAATTCGAATTTGTTTAGTCTATATCCCCCACCGGCCACCCATGAGTGTCCGCCAAAAATTTCAGCCCATTCGGTCCAGCCGTTTAGCCGGACAAAGGGAACATATATAAGCGAATGTCTTGTTTTATTTATTGAAAAAAATATATTTGGAGATAATATATTGTATATATTGTTTAGATATGTATTTGGAGATAAATCCTCCTGGAAATATATTGTATATATTGTTTAGATATATATTTGGAGATAAATCCTGCTGGAAATATATTATATAAATTGTTTAGATATATATTTGGAGATAAATCCTCCTGGAAATATATTTGGATGGCTGTGGTTCTTGGCTCGAATATAATCGCAGGAAAAGCTCCTTGTTCAATTATTTAAAGGGAGTGACCGGCTATGTAAAGTAGTCGAACTGAGTATGCAGTGTTGTGTAAAATTTCTTTAAGATTCATTTCAGACGTATAAAACTTTTTACAAATGTGTAAATCCTGAGTTTGAGCGCAAATTCGACGTTTAAAATTAAAGTAAAGTAAAATAAAGTAAAAATTATACAGCAATCTAATTAGATGGTTAGGAACATATTTCTCAAAAGAAATTTGTCAATAGATCAATGCTAGAATCAATTATTTCGTTTTTATTATTATATTGAATTTCTTATTTTCTTTGAATTTATTCGCAGATTTCTTCAAATTCTTCAAATAGAAACTAATAATTGAACAAGATTACTTATTTTCGATGATAAGATTAATTTTTATGATCTCATCCTGTTACTAAACAACTAATAAGTTTACTGTAGAATTTTTTTTACATTTTATATCGTCGTTATTTAATAATTTTAAGAAAAATGATTCTGAAAACGTATCCACCCCCAAGGTAGCAGTTTTGAACGTCAACTTTGCGCTCAGGCCTCAAACTCAGGATTTACAGATCTTTAAAAAGTTTAATAAGTCTCAAATGAATCCGACAGAAACTTGAAATGAAATTATACAGTTTAAAGAAAAAAAAACTGATATCTTATTCATACTTGAAATTGTGCATTTTTAACTGTCATTGTTACTGCAGTCTTGTAGAAGTGCGTTCAAACAAGTCCAATAGCATAAATATGTCCCTTTCATCATTATTATATGTATCATTATAATATTTTATTGTCCTTACATAGATATGTCCCCTTCATCATAATTATATGTATCATTATAATATCGAAACCCAAATATTTTTTCAAAACACAATTATTTGCATTTTGTTTAAAAAAATTAATGATTAGTTTAGTCAAGGAATTTTTTAACAGGATTTTTCATATTCTACGCGACATCAGATTTTACGAGAAGGTAATATTGTGAAACAAATCTGTTGTTTGTAAAACTGAAAGTTAATTAACTGCAATATTTTTTTTAACTTTTATTTAATTTGAATTAATCGATTAAATAGTTTATCAGTTATGCCATTGCAGGGGGAAAATGTTTCAAATCATGATCTGCACCCACTCTATAAATTACGAAATCAATTTTATTTGGCAGTCATCCAACTCTTTGCTGCCAAATAAGCGATGTTTTGTCGCTTCATTTGCAGCCATCCAACTTCTGTAGTCAAATAAACGATGTTTTGTTAAAAATAAGCCATTTTTGGTCGCTTCATGTGCATTCATCCACCTTCTGCTGCCAGTGTCAGGTTTTAAAATAAGCACGGTTTGGAACTGGGGCCCCTGCATTGATAAATCAATATATTTCTTCTTCTTAAAAACTTTATTTAGAAGAGATAGTTTTTTGACAAAAATAAGATTTACATAAATTAAACATTTGTAATATAAGGAATAATATACGGAAATCCTTCTTTACTGAACTAGGAATCAACAATAACCTTGAAGTAATAAATCTGTTGTATGATCAGTACTATAATGGAAGCAGCAGGAATCCTACGGAACAGTAAGCATATTATTTCTCCAACCCAATATTACCTTCATTATTTTCTTTAAAGGGGCTTAAAGCATAATTTCAAGTGACCCTCAATGCACAGTTGGCAATACTCGATTTACAACGGTACCCTTTGTTTGATAAGTGTGAATTAGATATCAATGTTTATAAATGTGAAAACCGATTATTTTCAATTTTGAATTTTTTAGCAATGTGACTGGCGCATTTCTACTGCTTGAAAATTGCATAGAAATTATCAGCTTTATAGATTTGGAAAAATATTTTCCGCCTCATTGATCTGATAAAGGTTTCAAGGGTACCATTGTGAATCGGACATAGCCATCTTCGCATGGAGGGTCACTTGAAATTTCGTTTACAGTCCTATCAGTATTTTCTTGTCAGTATTTTACAGCTTTTATAATTTCAATTTCAAACATTTAAAAAAACACACATTTAGTTCTATTTTTAGAGAAAAGAACTACGTGAAGGCTTTGTTTACATCTGAAGCCTACGTAAAGAATGAGTTTCATTATCATTCTGTTACAAAGAAACATAATTTTGATGAAACTGTTCTCTCAAACTGGACTTCATATCTAGGTAATTTTTTCCTATAATAAGCACGGTGGTATTTACACGGTATTTTTCCTCAATAAGTGCTATTCCTCCATTTCCATTTCCTCCACAAGCACTTTATGTACTATATTTTTCCTCATACAATCTTTTTTTTGACGGCTTTTAGATATTTCCTCCTTACACACTAACACAAAAACGAGCTTAAGAACCTGGCTTCAGAAACTAAATTTTCCCTAAAAAAGTCAAATCAACATTCTTCAAATTTTTTAATTACGCTAAGAACGTTCCCGTGGTTCTACCGAGTTCCCTGATTAAAAAAATTGGAGGCAAACCGGTCAATGGGTTTATGATTATGCTCGGACATGCAAACAAGTTTTTTTGTTAAAAGTTTGAAACTTTTTATAATTCTCATTTTAATTTTTAACATTAATCCCCATAGGTATTTCATGAGATATAATTTCCGTATTTAATATAATAATAATAGTATTTTTACTAGAACGGTTTCGGGAGTTCATAGAGAAAGGTGCACAGTTCACTAGACTAGCTGTTCAAGAACCCTGGGGGGTCATGATACTACAGGTACGTTATAAAGTACACAGTACAAAGTAAACAGAACACAGTACAAAGTACACAGTACACTGTACAGTGTACAGTGTACACTGTACATAGAACACGGTACACAGTACACAGTACACAGTACACAGTACACAGTACACATTGAGATATAAACACTTTTGTTGATACAAACTAAGATTATATAAATTAATCTTGAAAATAACAAAAAGAACTGATCTTGATATCCACAATTATAAAGTTTTCAGCTCCGTTTACATTGAAATATTCAAACATTTTTGGTCTTCTCAAGCTCTTCCAGAAAAGAAGTTATGATTAAAAACAAAAAAAGATAATGTTGCTCTCTAAAATATATATATGATTAAGGCCAGCTATGGTGGTATAAAGAAGGCTGGCTCCTCAACAGATTTTAATCCATATTTTGGAACAGATTACGGGATCTGCAGTATCATCAAACCACAAACAGCATTTGCTCCAGAGTTTGGTGAGGATAAAAACTATTGATTAAAGGGACTGTAACCATAATTTCAAGTGACCCCCCCATGCAAAGATGGTAATGACAGATGTACAACGGTGCCCTTGACAGCTTTATCTGATAAAGTATGAATTAGAGATCAATGTTTTTGTTTAATAAAACTATTTATTTTCAATTGGGGTTTCACTGCGAAAGTGACTTGCGCATTTCTTATTTATGAGAAGCAATGGAGAATTAACACTTTTCGAGTCGAAAAAACGAAGGTTTCTCCCACATTTTTTATCAGATTAAGGTTTCAAAGATACCGTTGTAAATTGGGCATTGCTATCTTTGTATGGAGGGTCACTTGAAATTACACTTACACTCGACCTTTAATAGAGATTAGAGTACCCTCCCTTTCCCTGATACTTTCTCACCTCCTCCATACCTTTTTCCTGATTTATCATCATTATTATGTTTAAATGTACACTGTACAGTGTACACCCATGTATTTAATTACAATTCTTATTCGCTTATAATGGGAAAATCAATTACATCCAAACATAGTAAATTGTGATTTTTTATTTGTATTATCTCGTGCTTTGTATAATATTTTTATACATATTTATATAATATTTTATTAATATCTCATTATATAGACAGCCACGTCAGTTAGAAGCAAATTCTAAACTTATCAATTCTTATTCCGCCTTTAGAATATTTATACCTTTCGTGAACACTCCATTTTTAGAAATTTTAATGAAATTTCTTTCAAAGAGAATTCTCTTTTAAATAAATTATCCCTTTGACAAAGTATAAATGGATAAAATTATATTTTACGTTGGGAAAAACACTTCGTCAAATTTTTATATGATTTTAAAACATTTTGTTATCAGATTCTTGGGTGAAATTTTACTTAAAGAAAACTATTGGATTGTACGCAGGTTTAAAAATAAACATGATAATACACTTTTTATCCGTGGAATTTTTGGCACACCTAATCTTAATATCGCTTAAAGATTTCCATGTTTTCTTCATAAATCTTCTTTATATAAAGTAGTAATCTCTGCTGGTTTGTTTTTATGTTCGATCATAACTCAGGAACCCCTTGACCGATTTGCCTTTAACTTAGATTTGGGAGCTCGATAGAACCACGGGAATGTTCTTAGCTTGACTTTTTATAAAGAAATCTTAGTTTCCCAACAAACCTGGTTTCCCAGCAAACCTGGTTTCCCAGCAAACCTGGTTTCCCAGCAAACCTGGTTTTCCCATCTTCTAAATCAATAAAACTGCAAGAAATCACAGAATTTACTTTTTTACATTTTTTTATTTATTCATTTTTCAAGGGTAATTTTTGTATTACTTACCAGCATAAACCACTTCTAAGGTCACCCGAGGTTTCACAAATCGGTTCAGCCGTTTTGACATTTTTACGTTTCAAACAAATAAACTTAAACGAACCAAAAGATATTTTAAAATACCTATATCTAAAATCATGTTAATAATAGAGTCTATTTTAGAAAAACTGCCATATTGGAATAAAGTTTTTGGTAAAATAAACTGGCAGATAGCCAAGGGAGCTCAGGTATTATTATAACTGGAGAACCATTGGAGACCCAGTTACACTGGAGAACCATTGGAGACCCAGTTACACTGGAGAACCATCGGAGAACCAGTTACACTGGAGAACCATTGGAGACCTAGTTACACTGGAGAACCATTGGAGACCTAGTTACACTGGAGAACCATTGGAGACCTAGTTACACTGGAGAACAATTGGAGACCCACTTATATCGGAACACCATTGGAGTCCGTTCTCATCAGAATTTTATTAAAACTCCATTTACAATATTTATAAATTCTTATATCAAAGTAAATCAATTTTGATCAAAGGCCTCTATTGTCACCAAAAACTTAATTAAATATATTTTTGTAACAATAACATCTTTTCATCTTAATAATAATCTTAATAAAAGTCCATTTTTGTAGGTATAACATTTTCTAATTCTAATCATTTTTGTACATGTTTTCCTACAGAAGAATTGCGTCACTTTTGTAAAGGAACCGCAATTAAAAATTATTTATATTTGATTAGACAAAAATATGTTATTCGATGAAATTTGTTTTACCAAAAATTAGTATTTAGCATTGTATCAATATTTTAGGCTGGAGAAGGTTTTAAGATTGCGATACATCATCATTTAGATCAACCCATCATGAGTATTAAGGTGTTAAATTTATTTTGTGTAAGTTCAAAAGTAAAATTACGGATTTTTATCCTATTTCGTTTCTCTCTTTCTTGTTATTATTTGAGCTTTTAAATACTACTCGTACATCATGAAAAATAATAATTTAAGCTTTTAGAGATTTTTCTTTTCTTATTCCAAAATCTCTGGATATTCAAAATATTGAAATATCACTTCATATCGAGTGTTTTGCTAAAAATTCGGTACAGACGTTTCAGTGTTTATTGAAGACAAACAAACACACAACAAATATGTAAATAACTCCGATCGACACACATCTTATATATATATTTTATTTATATACATATTTCAAAATAAAGGTCTTAAAATTCCTCTTCTTTTAAATATCATGTTATTGTATTAAAGTATAATTTTAAAGAAGAACAAAGGCAAGGAAAAGATATGCTAACACTTCGTTTTGAGGTATGTTTTTAACATGTGAGTTAAAAGAATTTGAGATGTTTATTTTTATAAGGTAACATCAGATTATATATTAATAAGTTTTTTACATATTCCATCTGATCAATCATATTTGGAAAAATCGTTTTCTTCATAAATTGGGACAAAGTATTTTTTCCATAATATGTTATAAAAGAAAAAACCTTTGAATGTTTAAATATACAGGGTGAGTCAAAAAAATTTGATTAGCGAATAGCGGCGCCTGGTGCAAAATTGTACCTTTTTGTGCAACTCTTCTGTAAGGCGTTTTTTCAATATTTTTAAAATTTTTATTTTTTTTTGGTTTTCAATGGCACAAAAAAAAATACGCGAACCTTTTTTTCTCTCAAAATCAAAAGTTCAGAAAAGAAAAAATGTGTATATAAATTATTTCAATCGAAATCTAAAATTTTTATAAATATTGGATTACAAAATCACAGAAAATTTTCAAAACTTTAATTAGAAAATTTGCAATTTTCAGTTCTAGCCTAATTTTTAAGGATAAGATGTTTTTCAATGGCTCTTAGGTTTTAACTGAACAGCGTATATTTAAAACTTTAGAATATACTAACAAGAAAGGAACAAGAAAATTTAAATAGCTTTTGCGAATTTTCTTTTTAAAATTTTGCGAATTTTCTGTGATTCTGTGATTCAATCTTTATAAATTTTTAGATTTTAAAGGAAATAATTTATCTACACATTTTTGCTTTTCTGAACTTTTGATTTTGAGAGAAAAAAGGGGCTCACATTTTTTTTGGGCCATTGAAACACCAAAAAAAAATTTCAAAAAGTATTGCAAAAACACCATACAGGAGGGTTGCACAAAAATAGGTACAATTTTGCACCAGGCGCCGCTAATCACACTTTTTTTTGACTCACCCTGTAGACCTGGAAACCATCCTTTATTATGTTTATTTTCCACCATGGTTGAAGAGCAGACAATCTACACATTATATATTATTAAAAATAAGAAAAGTACATTAAATATATAAAGCATTGATAACTACTTCAAAGAATATATAATTTATATTTAATTTAACCCTATTACTGGCTAACCTCTCAAAAGCCTAAAATATATCGGGCGGGGCCCCGGTAACCCCCTCCCTCCTATTTTTCCTTATTCCTTGTTGTAGATGTTTAGTGTAAAGTGAGGGCCGTATGTTAGGAAAACATAAATGTTTAGGTTATGACTAAAAAGTCTTTGAAACTGTAAAGCATATTATATACGTATAATATGAACAATAAATTTCATGTGTAATTAGCTGCACAGAAAAAGAAATGTACTGCCAACTTTACAGTAAACAATGAATACAATTAAATGTACAGTAAACTAAATTTATGGCCCACGGTACAGTAGACTAAATGTAAAACCCACGTACGGTAATCTTTATGTGCAGCCCACTATACGGTAAACTAAATGTACAGCCCACTGTATGGTAAACTAAATATACAGCCAACTGTACAGTAAACTATGAGTACAGTTAAATGTAGAGTAAACTAAATGTACAGGCAACTGTGCGGTAAACTAAATGTACAGTCCACTGTATGTTAATCTAAATGTACAACCCACTGTAGGGTAAACTAAATATAAAGCCCATTGTACGGCAAACTAAATATAAAGCCCACTGTACGGCAAACTAAATATAAAGCCCACTGTACAGTAAACTAAATATACAGCCCACTGTACAGTAAACTAAATATACAGCCCACTGTACAGTAAACTAGATATACAGCCCACTGTACAGTAACCTAATTATACAGCCCACTGTACAGTAAACTAAATATACAGCCCACTGTACAGTAAACTAAATATACAGCCCACTGTACAGTAAATTAAATATACAGCCCACTGTAAAGTAAACTAGTTATACAGCCCACTGTACAGTAAATTAAATATACAGCCCACTGTACAGTAAACTAGATATACAGCCCACTGTACAGTAAGCTAAATATACAGCCCACTGTACAGTAAGCTAAATGTACAGCCCACTGTACAGTAAACTAGATATACAGAAATATACAGCCCACTGTACAGTTAGGTAAATATACAGCACACTGTACAGTAAACTAAATATACAGTCCACTGTACAGTAAACTAAATATACAGCACACTGTACAGTAAACTAAATATACAGCCCACTGTACAGTAAGCTAAATATACAGCCCACTGTACAGTAAACTAGATATACAGCCCACTGTACAGTAAACTAGATATACAGCCCACTGTACAGTATAGCTAAATGTACAGGAACTGGATATATCACCTGGCTCTGTTTTCCAAATAGCTGTAACACCAACTCTGCTTTCTACTTCAGAAGATGCTGTTAAAAGGTAAAGATTAAAGTGACTGTGAGCATAATTATAAGTGACTCTCCGTCCAAAGATGACAATGCTCGGCTTACAATACCCTTAAAACCTTTGTCTGATCAAGTATGAGTTAGATATCCATGTTTGTAATTTGAAAATTCAAAAACGACAATATCTTCCACATTATTGAACAGATAAAGGTTTCAAGGGAACTATTATTAATCAGGTATTGCCATCTGTACATGGAGGGTCTCTTGAAATTGCACTTAAACTCCCTTTTAGTATTCTAAAACTCATATAAAGATTTCGGTGACTTTAAATATTTCAAAAACTACGAAGGAACTGAACTCTCGTCAAACAAACTTTAATTTTCTAATCTCTATCTTTACTATCTATCGGAATTTATAGCCTGAAATTTCAAAGGTCTGCACACGGTTGCAATGATTTAGTGATCAGAAAAATACAGCATGTAACGAGCGTTGAGATTCTGAATTCTGATAGAAGGTTAACACAGAATACAACTAAATTATTTTAATGTTTAAAAGTTTATAAAAATCATAAAATTCCTGATATTAATTCAACGATTTTTTGTGCAAAGTCGCTGATGAGAAATTTTAGTGCTCGGATAGTTAAACCATTCTTAATTTTTAATTAATATTAGTTTTTTTTTAAATATTTATTTTTTAACCAAAAAGGTAAAATCAAAGTAAACTAAAATCTAAATAAAGAGTTTTAATATTTCACAGAATCCTAACAGGCAAATCATTCTTGATAAGATAAAAGCAAAATATAACAATAAAAATTCTAGAAATGATTTTTAAACCCGATAAAATTGAAAATCAATCAGTCAATGATTTTTTTTAATGCAATCATAGATTTGACGTTTTAGTGGCTACTAGCTGGATTTAGAGTTCTCAATTCGTTTTTAAAGCAACATTTCTTTTTGATCTAAAAATGTGAGTTCTTAAAGGTAGTGTTCGCAAAAAATGAAAGGGGGTGTAGGCTTACGTCGAACAATACTTTATGGTGATTGCTACTAATCTTAAACTTCTATCTGGTGCGTCTATAAGGACAAAATTGTTAAAAATGACTCATACGGAAGGACGTAGCCAAGGACTCTTTCATTTTTCGCGAACACTCCCTCTAAACCTGCATTATTAAAAACAAATAAATTAAAAGGTTTAATCCAATGGAGAGGGGGTGTTATACTGAAGGAGAACTACCGTTAAAGGTAAATCTTTTTAATTTTAACAAATTTCTTTCAACCATTAATTTTGTTGAAAGGAACTATATTGCGTAATTTGAAGCAAAAATGGTAATGTTCCAGTAACAACCGTACCATTCAAACCTAGGACTGAAAATTTAGGGCAGAGAACTCTGCGTGTTTTTTTAGTAATAAAATTTTAAAAATGGAGTGTATACGCTAGCGTACAGGGTAAACTCAAAATTTTTCAACTTATAATAGCGGTTTCTTTATAAAATTGACATACGGATTTCCACATGCAGCAAAGATGGAGAGGAAATTGTCTGGTTTTAAAGGGAGTGTTCGCGAAAAATGAAAGGGGGTATAGGCTTAATGCGATAAAAAAGCGCTTTTGATCTAACTTACTAATCTTACTTCTCTCTGTTGCGTCTATAAGGAGAAAATTGTTAATAACGACTAATACCGAAGAACGTAGTATCCATGCAATTTCAGAAAGATGCAATATACGACTTAGACCGTAAAAAAATCTATTTAATTTCAAACAAATCATTCAGATATTACAACCTATAGTCATCGATTATCTTTCGCCACATTTAAGCCTATACCCCCTTTCATTTTTCGCGAACACTCCCTTTACTATATTTTCCCCATTTTGATACAGATAGATATTATGGTGGTACCTTTCAGAATCACGAGGCTGGATAATTCTGTAGGTTTGCTCACATTATTCTTTTTCTTAAAATCATTTAATAACCCGGACAAAAAACGTAACAAAATTTCTTCTAAAAACTAATTTGCTTATGAGGAACATATTTCTGAACAAAGTGTTATCGATGAAATCAATGAATACTTTTTAATCCTCATCTTTATCTTGGACTTTAAGTTTATGAAATTCAAGGAAATATACGGGAAACGTTTTGGATAATATTCGAATATACAGAAACAGATGACTAATTAAAATTACATATTTGTCAGGATAAGGGTTAATTTGTATTTTATTTTTATTAACCTATTTTTAAACTTGATTTTATCAACCTATTTTTAAACTTGATTTTATCAACCTATTTCTAAACTTGATTTATCAACCTATTTCTAAACTTGATTTTATCAACCTATTTCTAAACTTGATTTTATCAACCTATTTCTAAACTTGATTTTATCAACTTATTTCTAAACTTGATTTTAGTTTATGTCCAGTAGAATTACTGTTATGTGCTTTCGTCCAAGTTATTAATTTCTAAACTTGATTTTAGTTTATGTCCAGTAGAATTACTGTTATGTGCTTTCGTCCAAGTTATTAAATAATTTCAAAAATTGAATCTTGTGTGCAAACCCCCAGAATTATACAACCTCGTGATTTTTAATGACTGATTTTTTGGTCTCATGTTGCAATAATAGAACGTAAAAACGTCATACAGATATCAAATGAATCATTAGTTTAATTGATTTGATTTGATAGCTCACTCTCAGTTCATCTATAATACTTAGCCAGTCACTCCCTTTAAGCTTATCTTTAAAATGTATTGAACTAACAAAATTACGACTTTCATTCACCTGTACAATATATATCAATATATTGAAGGCGACTTCTTTATTTCAATTTTAATTGTTTACTAGATTTTTTCGAATTACAAGTTTACAAGTAATCAAAGAGAAGCTTTTTAAATCAACATCTTCTCTTTGTTTCCACTTGTATGTGTACCCATGCTGTTTAAAAGCTTTATGCAAATCAAAATTGCAATGAAAAGTCGTCTTTATTGTATTGATATATGCGACGACGACTGTATTACATATTAACCCTTGATTTATAGATCGATATAATTTCATCATTTAATTTTTGTGATTGAACTGATGATAGATCAAACAGTTTACTGCTTTATATAAAAATACATAGATATTGGAATATCCTTTTTTTTATCATATATTGAAATCTTGCCTGTACAGCTGTGTTCTCCAAGACCCAGATCCTTTTCCTAAATGCAAATTTGAGGAGTTAAGGGTTCACAAAGTTATGCTGATACTTCTGCGGAAAATGAAATTTACTATCATAATTTTTGCTTATAATTCTCCATCTTTATTAATCAAAAATAAAAGTTTTTTGATTATTTTTTAGTATCTTCCCTCGAAGCTGTACCGGTACGAGATGTCCAATTGTCTGTTTGAAGCTGCCTATGAACAGGTATCCTTCTGTTAAATTAATTAAATTAACGTAATTTTAAGTGAACCTGTATCTGAGAGAGTGACATTGCCGATTCACACGGTTCCCTTAAAAGCTTTGTCTGATGGAGAATGAATCAGCTGGCAATCTTTCTTTTTGTAAATTTGATTATTTTCAATTGTGATTTTTCCAAAAAGTCACCTGCGGATTATTGTAATTGTAATTGTTAGAATTAAACAATTTTATAAATATAACAAAATAATTTTTTCCCTTATGATGTCGTTTCTCAATCATTCGTCCACTCTCTCATTTTTCGCCATTTTTTTTTTATTTATCTGCGTCATACTCACCTCCCCTGATTATCCTTAAAGGTAAAGTGATTTTTGCTCCATTTTGTTTGCCTAATCATAGGATACCCAAATGAGTCCCGCCAATAGAATAACCTAGAAATATTGTAAAACCCCAATTCTAACAGAACGCTCTCTTCGACCAAATTCGAAATGTCAAAAATATTGTTCAATGTTCAATGATAATACCTTTGTTCTTAATATTTCTTTAAGCTGCCATGAAACTTATTTTCACTGATTTTATTTTTTTTAATGAACTTTCTTCATAGTAAAGTTTATGTTAAACTACCTTGGGAACCAAGCTTTGTCTAGATTTTTTCCTATTCAAGTCAACCCACTCAACTAAGAATTTTAAAACCAAGCTAATCACACTTCCATGGTTCTTCTGAGTTCTCCAATCAAAATTTGAGGAGAATCGGCTAATAGATTCATAAAATCGGACATCCAAATATATCCAATCAGAGTTTACTGCTTTATATAAATAGAAACATATAGATTTTGGAGTTATGTAACTGCACCCCTAGCTTTCATGCCCTGGGGTACATGGAGAAACCTCAGATATGTACGGGACCTGGACTAACATGTATGAACAAGTAAGTACAATTTTAAATAGATTTCACACCTTTTCCAATGTTTTAGAAATCATGCAGAGGTGCAATTAAAAAAATCTGAAAAGAGAGGATTACAATATAAATAGGAAACTACAAGGTAGTAGGTCTAAACATATATATATATAGGATTATAAGAGGAATAGCAAACTACAAGGTAGTAGGTCTAAACATATATATATATATATAGGATTATAAGAGGAATAGGAAACTACAAGGTAGTAGGTCTAAACACATATATAAAGGATTATAAGAGGAATAGGAAACTACAAGGTAGTAAGTATAAACATATATATATATATATATATAGGATTATAAGAGGAATAGGAACTCAAAGAAGATTTTAAAAGCGAATATTTTTCGCCGTAAGCCTATACCTTTCATTTTTCGCGAACACTCCCTTTAAAAGTCATTCTCATTGACTTGTAAGATTTGTTAGATTCCTTATCTTCACTTAGATACAAAGGATTTGAGTCTTTGCCACAAACCCTGATTTGTTTAATCCCTATATCTTTACAACTCAATGGCGGAGACCATAGATATTTTAAATTATAGATTCTGTTAGATAAAATAATCTAAGTTTGAAATAGGTCTACAGGTCTAAAGGTCTAAAGGTCTACACCATCAGGTTTCACAGATATAGGGATCAGAAAAAGGGGGTTTTGGCAAAGTCTCAATCCCTCAAGAGTATTGTTGTGAATCATTTATGAAATCCTTTTATTGTAAGATCCCTGAAAATTCATAGATATTCTTTTATTGTCAAGATGACAAAATAATGCTTTCATTAATGTACTTATTATAGGAACTTACATGTTTCTATAATAATGTAAATGGAAAGAGTACTGAAACAAAATTATTAATGAACTCTAACTGCATACCGTGCCGACTCAAATTTGAATCACCGATTCAAGTCCTTCCTTATTCTTTAACTTTGGTGGTTCAAATTTTAACCATCAGGTGTTGTGTTCAGCGACGAAGCTTGAATTTATTAAATTCAGTCTCAGAGATCAAATCTTTTGTATTTTTAATCCCAGGAACAAAAAATTATCCATATCATTTGTAGCCAGCATTTTATACTTATCGGGCTATTTTTTTAAAAATTTTATTTTGTTGCAAATATTCCTTTTTTGGCTTCCTTATGTGAGAAATATATCGCGGAAAATGCACAACAAATATAGATTAGCGCGTATTTCACACAAAAGGTTTGATCTGAACAACCTTGCATCCACCTTTTGCTGCCAAATGAATGATTTTTTTTATTTATGTAAAAATGTAAAAAACTGATGTCCAAGTTGAGTAACCTAGGCTTGTAGGGCGCTTCGCACCCATCGTCTATTACAATTTAAACAAACAAACAAACAAACAGACAGACAAGCAAAGTATATGTATAGATGGTGCAAAACGCAAATTCAAATGCTTTTTTTAACGTGTTGACTTCGTACACTGTATAGACCATAATTATGCACAATACGTACATGTCACATATCACATTACACCACAGACTAGATATACACAGACTGTACATAAGCTCTCATAGGCAGGCCTATAGTTGTACCGGCATTTCATTTTATATTTCTTCAAAAGGTATTAAACTGCCATCTAACGACCACTTGATGCATATAATTCCCATTCAGGGGTTAAATTTGACAATTTTAAAAGAAATACTCTTAACATACTGTAGCGGAGGCAAGAATTTGATGATTTTTTAACGGAAAATTCAGGATTGAAAATATTGAAAAATTTATAAATAGAACAACTCTGGAGGGAAACCCAAGTTTGTTAACCTGACGCTTGGAAAGGGGCCCATGGGTGAACGAACCCCGGGTATTCATCTCGGAAAGTTGGAAAGCTAGGGAATTCCAGATCTAACCTGGCAGGTCAACTTATACCCAGAGGGGAGTCAGATGGTGATCAACCATCTCAGCTAGAAGTTCCGAGACATAAATCAAGATCCGTAGTTCGGTCCTCTCGGCTTCAATGTATTAGTATCATAAGCAGTTTGTATTTTTACATTTAATAAAGTATTTGTACCGTATATCGTTTAATATCGGATGGATGAGTTCTTAATGATTTAGTACGTTTGCGGAGTGAAAATATATCTCCCTATTGCGATTTATTCATATACAACAATACTTTTAACAAAAAACAAAAAAATTTATGAATTTAGTCTATTTTTTAATGTTATGTCTTTCGTATACAAGGATCTTTAAATATTCCTGAATACAGACGTTTGTTTAATGATCGTGTCAAATAGATTATCAAGTACAATAGGTGGCAACAGAGACATGGATCGACCAGTTATACACGACAGCACAAGTGTCAAATATAACAAGAAAAACAAAATTTTCTCACATTAGTTGACATGTTTTNATCTCAGCAATACACAAATTAGAATGTACATATCAGAGATTACAGAGATCGATTATATCAGCTAAAATATGCGATATTTTCCACAGCATGTTCTATTGACCAATCAGCAAACATCTGTATTCAGGGATATTTAAGGAACCTTTGGATACGAAACACAAAATCTTTAAAAAAATACTGAATTCATGAATGTTATGTTTCGTGTTTAAAATTGGAGTATTTGTAGAACTTAACCCCTGAATGGGTATTATATTCATCAAGTGGCCGTGAGATGGCACTATAAAAACGTATCGTAAAAACGTAGCATGTTGTGCCGGGTCAACTACTCTGTGAAAGGAGATAAGCAGTCTGTGTAGTCTGTGGTACATATTAAATATATTCCTGATTTAGACGAACTCCGTGAGCGTGACAAGTTCATCCTTCCCTAACAGAGAAACCTTTGTACGAAGGGAGGAGTTCTGCTTAGTAATGGAAAAATTAAAAAGGTATAAAAATAATACACATTAAAAATAATACACATTAAATGTTGGCTGAATCTCCTAAAAATGCCAATTTCGGTGAAATTTACAAAATAAAAATGTATCTAATTATATAGGATTGCAACTAAATGGTTTTGAAGAATCAATTAATTAAAATTATATTTAGAACCTGTACCTCGGTCAAGTATATATATATAAATATTTAGAACCTGTACCTCGGTCAAGTATATATATAAATATATATATAAAACCTGTACCTCGGTCAAGTATATATATATATTTAGAACCTGTACCTCGGTCAAGTATATATATAAATATATATATAAAACCTGTACCTCGGTCAAGTATATATATATATTTAGAACCTGTATCTCGGTCAAGTATATATATATATATATATATATATTTAGAACCTGTACCTCGGTCAAATATGAGATTGTTGGAGCAAAGTTTCCACATCTATGTAAAGCTATTCAGAGTGTTCAGGTAATGTAACCTCTACTTTTTTACCTCGAATAAAATGACCTTCTCTAAGTTTACCTTTTCTAAGCTAACCTTCTCTAAGTTGATCTTCTCTTAGTTGACCTTCTCTAAGTTGACCTTCTTTAAGTTGACCTTCTCTAAGTTGACCTTCTCTAAGTTGACCTTCTCTAAGTTGACCTTCTCAAAGTTGACCTTCTCTAAGTTGACCTTCTCTAAGTTGACCTTCTCTAAGTTGACCTTCTCTAAGTTGACCTTCTCTAAGTTGACCTTCTCTAAGTTTACTTTATCTAAATTTACCTTCGCTAAGTTGACGTTCTCTAAGATGACCTTCTTAAAGTTGAACTTCTCTAAATTTATCTTCTATAAATTTACCTTCTCTATGTTGACCTTCCCTAAGTTGACCTTCTCTAAGTTGAACTTCTTTAAGTTGACCTTTTCTAATTTGACCTTCTCCAAGTTAACCTTCTTTAGATTGACTTTATCCAAGTTCATCTTCTCTAAATTGACCTCTTTAAGTTGACCTCTTTAAATTGACCTCTTTAAGTTGACGTCTTTAAGTTGACCTCTATATAGAATGTGAGCCTCTTGACTCCAGAGGCCAATATTTGTGAGAATAACAAATGGGATCCAACTCTAATTGGACTAAACAGTTCAGACCCGAGGTAGAAATTATGTTACAAAGTAGATGTATTGAATGTATGTCCTATGCATACATGTTTGTAAAATTGCGTCCTCTGTGCGTAACCTTATTGTGCGTCCTCACTTTGCATCCTCACTGTGCGTCCTAGCTATGCATTATTAGTACAGTATCATTTCTGTTTCATAAATAGTTGATTCGAATAGTTCAGGTCCGCATATTTGCAAAAATACTGCCAACTGATATGGGGATTATTAAGAGTCCATTATTTCTTTTTAGTATTTATTATTTTTCATTGAAACCCCCCATGTAAGGCTATTATTGATGGATTATCATGTCTAAACTACCATTATTCTAAGATTTATCAAACTTATAATATAGCTAAAATTTAGAGAATATGAATTTATTTATCGAATAAATCCCGAGATCTATAAATTTTTAAAGTTTTTGTCACAAATCTCCTGTATGGAACAAGAAGAGTGAAGAATAAAAAGACGACAATAAGTATACTAATCAATTGAATTTTATGCTGTTACAACAGTTATACCAGTAACTTATTAAGTCACTTTCACTTATTATGTGAAATGGGTCTGTTCAGAGGCGT